AAGTTTTGTTCAAAAACCTCGTCTGAGAACTTGTATAGAGAAGGATTTCCCGCGGCGCTGCGGTTCTTCCATACCAACTTAGCTTCCTGGCGCTGCTATTGGCATAACAACCGGTACACCATAGGTTGGCCCAACCCAGTCCTCTCGTACTAGGGTTGGCTCCTCGCAATTCTCCCTTTAACACCAACGGTAGATAGGAACCGAACTGTTGTTAGGATCGATATCAGTCGTTAGCTCTGATACCAGTTGTTAGGATCGATATCAGTCCTTATCTCTGATACCAGTTGTTAGGATCGCACAACAACGCACACGCTCGATCTAGATGAACACAAAGAACAGGATAGAGAAAATTTGCAAGGAGAACTTTGGCTAAAAGGATTTTTTGTATTGATGACTTCAGGTATGTACAACAAGAGAGAGTACAGAGAATAGAAAAGTACATGTTCAAAGCTCTACCGGACCAGATATATATATAGTATAGTTTACTATATATAGCTTTACCAGATTTAGCCAGGCAGAAGTCAGATCCAGGTGGAAGTCGGAGCCAGGCGGAAGTCAGAGCCAAGAGCCAGGCAGAAGTCAGAGCCAGAGCCAGAGCCAGGCAGAAGTTAGAGTCAGAGCCAGGCGGAAGTCAGAGCCAGGAGCCAAGCGGAAGTCAGAGCTAGGCGAAATTCACCACGATCTGTGAAGATGGAAAGTTCAAAGATTGGAATTGAGAAGTTCGATGGATCCGATTTCGGTTTCTGGAAAATGCAGATTGAAGATTATCTATACCAGAAAAATCTTCACGAACCTCTGTTGGGGGTGAAGCCGGATACCATGACCACGGAACAGTGAAAGCTCAAGGATCGACAAGCCTTGGGACTGATCCGGTTGACGCTATCCAGAAACGTGGCGTTCAACATTATCAAGGAGAAGACAACGTCAGGTCTATTGAAGACGCTGTCGAATATGTACGAAAAACCGTTGGCTATGAACAATGTGTATTTTGATGCCAAGATTGTTATGAGTCCTTGTGAGAACTTCGTTACGAGCAAACAGAAACGAGTTAGCTTCACAAAGACTGTTAGAGAATTGAAGAAAAGTACTGGAGGGAGCTCCCTCGATCGTTAGCATTGCTGAAGCTCCAGAGGGGGTTGCGTCGTCTGGAAGCGTCGTTGAAGCTCCAGAGGGGGTTGCGTCGTTTGGAAGCGTCGCTGAAGCTCCAGAGGGGGTTGCGTCGTCTGGAAGCGTCACTGAAGCTCCAGAGGGGGTTGCGTCGGCCGGAAGCGTCGCTGAAGCTCCAGAGGGGGTTGCGTCGTCCGGAAGCGTCGTTGAAGCTCCAAAGGGGGTTGCATCGGCCGGAAGCGTCGCTGAAGCTCCAAAGGGGGTTGCGTCGTCCGAAAGCGTCGCTGAAGCTCCAGAGGGAGTTGCATCGGTCGGAAGCATCGCTGAAGCCCCAGAGGGGGTTGCGTCGTCCGGACAGAAGCGTCGCTGAAGCTCCAGAGGGAGTTGCATCGTCCGGAAGCGTCGCTGAAGCTCCAGAGGGAGTTGCGTCATCCAAAAGCGTCGCTGAAGCTCCAGAGGGGATTGCCTCGTCCAGAAGCGTCGCTGGAGCTCCAGAGGGAGTTGCGTCGTCCGGAAGCGTCGCTGAAGCTCCAAAGGGGGTTGCGTCGGCCGGAAGCGTCGCTGAAGCTCCAGAGGGGGTTGCGTCGGCCGGAAGCGTCGCTGAAGCTCCAGAGGGGGTTGCGTCGGCCGGAAGCGTCGCTGAAGCTCCAGAGGGGGTTGCGTCGGCCGGAAGCGTCGCTGAAGCTCCAGAGGGAGTTGCTTCGGCCGGAAGCGTCAATGAAGCTCTAGAGGGGGTTGCGTCGGCCGGAAGTGTCGCTGAAGCTCCAAAGGGGGTTGCGTCGTCCGGAAGCGTCGCTGAAGCTCCAAAGGGGGTTGCGTCGGCCGGAAGTGTCGCTAAAGCTCCGGAGGGGGTTGCGTCGTCCGAAAGCTTCGCTGAAGCTCCAGAGGGAGTTGCGTCGATCGGAAGCATCACTGAAGCTCCAGAGGGCGTTGCATCGTCCGGACAGAAGCGTCGTTGAAGCTCCAGAGGGAGTTGCATCGTCCGGAAGCGTCGCTGAAGCTCTAGAGGGAGTTGCGTCGTCCGTAAGCGTCGCTGAGACTCCAGAGGGGGTTGCGTCGTCCAGAAGCGTCGCTGAAGCTCCAGAGGGAGTTGCGTCGTCCAGAAGCGTCGCTGAAGCTCCAGAGGGGGTTGCGTCGTCCAGAAGCGTCGCTGAAGCTCCAGAGGGAGTTGCGTCGTCCAGAAGCGTCGCTGAAGCTCCAGAGGGAGTTGCGTCGTCCGAAAGCGTCGCTGAAGCTCTAGAGGGAGTTGCGTCGTCCGGAAGCGTCGCTGAAGCTCCAGAGGGAGTTGCGTCGTCCGTAAGCGTCGCTGAAGCTCCAGAGGGGGTTGCGTCGTCCGGAAGCGTCGCTGAAACTCCAGAGGAGGTTGCATCGGTCGGAAGCGTCGCTGAAGCTCCAGAGGGGGTTGCGTCGTCCGGAAGCGTCGCTGAAGCTCCAGAGGGAGTTGCGTCGTCCGTAAGCGTCGCTGAAGCTCCAGAGGGGGTTGCGTCGTCCGGAAGCGTCGCTGAAACTCCAGAGGAGGTTGCATCGGTCGGAAGCGTCGCTGAAGCTCCAGAGGGGGTTGCGTCGTCTGGAAAGAAGCGTCGCTGAAGCTCCAGAAGGGGTTGCGTCGTCTGAAAGCGTCGCTGAAAGCTCTAGAGGGGATTGCATCGTCCGGAAGCGTCGCTGAAGCTCCAAAGGGGGTTGCGTCGGTCGGAAGTGTCGCTGAAGCTCCAGAGGGGGTTGCGTCGTCCGGAAGCTTCGCTGAAGTTCGAGAGGGAGTTGTGTCGGTCGGAAGCATCACTGAAGCTCCAGAGGGCGTTGTATCGTCCGGACAGAAGCGTCGTTGAAGCTCCAGAGGGAGTTGCATCGTCCAGAAGCGTCGCTGAAGCTCCAGAGGGAGTTGCGTCGTCCGTAAGCGTCGCTGAAGCTCCAGAGGGGGTTGCGTCGTCCGGAAGCGTCGCTGAAGCTCCAGAGGGGGTTGCGTCGTCCGGAAGCGTCGCTGAAGCTCCAGAGGGAGTTGCGTCGGCCGGAAGCGTCGCTGAAGCTCCAGAGGGGGTTGCGTCGGCCGGAAGCGTCGCTGAGGCTCCAAAGGGGGTTGCGTCCTCCGGAAGCGTCGCTGAAGCTCCAAAGGGGGTTGCGTCGGCCGGAAGTGTCGCTGAAGCTCCGGAGGGGGTTGCGTCGTCCGGAAGCTTCGCTGAAGCTCCAGAGGGAGTTGCGTCGGTCGGAAGCATCGCTGAAGTTCCAGAGGGCGTTGCATCGTCCGGACAGAAGCGTCGTTGAAGCTCCAGAGGGAGTTGTATCGTCCGGAAGCGTCGCTGAAGCTCCAGAGGGAGTTCCGTCATCCGTAAGCGTCGCTAAAGCTCCAGAGGGGGTTGCGTCGTCTAGAAGCGTCGCTGAAGCTCCAGAGGGAGTTGCATCGTCCAGAAGCGTCGCTGAAGCTCCAGAGGGAGTTGCGTCGTCCGGAAGCGTCGCTGAAGCTCCAGAGGGAGTTGCATCGTCCGAGAAACGTCGCTTAAGCTCTAGAAGGGGTTGCGTCGTCCGGAAGCGTCGCTGAAACTCCAGAGGAGGTTGCGTCGGTCGGAAGCGTCGCTGAAGCTCCAGAGGGGGTTTCGTCGTCCGAAAAGAAGCGTCGCTGAAGCTCCAGAGGGAGTTGCGTCGTCCGGAAGCGTCGCTGAAGCTCCAGAGGGGGTTGCGTGTCTGAAAGCGTCGCTGAAAGCTCCAGAGGGGATTGCATCGTCCGGAAGCGTCGCTGAAGCTCCAGAGGGGGTTGCGTCGGTCGGAAGCGTCGCTGAAGCTCCAGAGGGGGTTGCATCGTCCGGAAGCGTCGTGAAGCTCCAGAGGGGGTTGCGTCGGCCGAAAGCGTAGCTGAAACTCCAGAGGAGGTTGCATGGGCCTGAGACTCTTGCTGAGAAACCAGAGGTGAAGCAAGTGGGAGTTGATGTTGAGTTGCTCAAAGATTCACAGAGTGATGTTGTAGCAGATACTCATGAAACTCCTGAGACTCTTGCTGAGAAACCAGAGGTGAAGCAAGTGGGAGTTGATGTTGAGTTGCTCAAAGATTCACAGAGTGATGTTGTAGCAGATACTCATGAAACTCCTGAGACTCTTGCTGAGAAACCAGAGGTGAAGCAAGTGGGAGTTGATGTTGAGTTGCTAAAAAATTCACAGAGTGATATTGTAGCGGATACTCATGAAACTCCTGAGACTCTTGCTGAGAAACCAGAGGTGAAGCAAGTGGGAGTTGAGGTTGAGTTGCTCAAAGATTCACATAGTGATGTAGCACATACTCAAGAAACTCCTGAGACTCATGCTGTTGGCGAGGAACCCAGTCTATCATTCAAAATACAGAAGGCGATACCATTTCACTCGGAGGTTGGTTGAAGATGGTGATGTGTTTTGAGAAGATAGAGGGTGCAAAGAATCCAGCAAACATGTTGACAAAATGTGTTGATGTTGGAATATTGAGGTTGGGCAAAACCTCAATTGGTATGGTGCAGTGAAGATGCTCATGGTCGTTTGAGAGTGAAATTCTTGGTTGACTAGATCAGTCTCCAAGTGGGAGAATTGTTAGGCTATGGAGCCTGATACTTATTTATAGCTTGGTCAACGGTTATATCCGGTAAAGCTATATATGGTAAATAGCTATATATAGTAGATGGCTAAATCTGGTAAAGATATATATAGTAAACTATACTATATATATCTGGTTCGGTAGAGCTTTGAACATGTACTTTTCTATTCTCTGTACTCTCTCTTGTTGTACATACCTGAAGTCATCAATACAAAAAATCCTTTTAGCCAGAGTTCTCCTTGCAAATTTTCTCTATCTTGTTCTTTGTGTTCATCTAGATCGAGCGTGTGCATTGTTGTGCGATCCTAACAACTGGTATCAGAGCTAACGACTGATATCGATCCTAACAACTGGTATCAGAGCTAACGACTGATATCGATCCTAACAACTGTCTCACGACGTTCTAAACCCAACTCACGTACCACTTGAATCGGCGAACAACCGAACCCTTGGGACCTTCTTCAACCCCAGGATGTGATGAGTCGACATCGAGGTGCCAAATGACTCCGTCGATAAGAGCTCTTGGGAGTCATCAGCCTATTATCCC